GCGTACATAAATATTTAGTCAAATATTCTTTAAATCTGGTAAAGCTGGCGGAGGTTCGTCGGTTGGAAGAAGGACGTTAACTCAAGTCGAAACACAGCGCTGAAAAGCGTGCAAATTCACAAAACCAAATCCATATTCCGACGTAACAAAGATTAGATTGTAATTCAGCGATAATTGCACCATCTTATGTTTTGAACGTTACTAATTTAAATTTCGAAAAGATGAGAGATTATTTTATCACTGATATTAGGATTATTGTTAGCATTAGATTATAATTTCAGGTACATTGATGTGTATTTAGCTGAATTGGTAAACTGAAATGTTTCTCCTAAAGCTTTAATATCGCAGCAAACGTTGAATGATTAGGAAAGTTACCTTTAGCTTCAAACGACACTTGCTGGAAGTTCCATCCGTTGACCACAGAAATTAATTTGTTTACGTAGATTCACGTACGCCTAAAAGGAGATATCACATTTTTTACACACTTAAGAATTTTTTATTATTATCGTTGACAATTTCTTATGGCATTTTCTGGGTCTTACATCGCACAGCTGCTGAAATTCCGAGTAATTATATTACGACAATTGAGTTGGGGCAAGGAATCCAAGCTACGGATACGAGAACATTGTGTATACACAGGAATATTACACACAAACGTGATAGGGCAAGGCACTGTTACGTTCTTTGTACCAACAAAGTAAACATCTGTTCTGAAGTAAAACTGGATTTGCACTAGATAGCCAGGGACATTGTCCACCCTTTGTCCCTTAATGGATCCCTATGTTGATGCAAATGACCGTTCACATGGATGTCGTGTTATTCTCAAATGACATTTTACATGGCTACTGAGACTTGAGAGCTTACAGAAACCGGCCCCAGGAAAAGTTACGTGGAGATAGGAAAATAAAGCTTATTATTTGAAGAGATTTCAAATGTTCGAACAAACACGATAGATCAAAGGATTCAGAGACCCGGAAAAATGACGTTGCAAGTTCTATCATGTGCTTTGTGTTGAGTATACACATGCAAGCCACTAATCCATACAAAATGCGTCTTTGTAGCTTTCAACTGTGTCCCCTCTCATGTAAACACAGAGCCAGTATTCTTTGTTTGGGTACATCTCATACACGGACGTGGTTCTTTCCTGTCCCTTGCGTATTTTCATTACTCTGAGCAATAATTACAAATCTTAACTGGACGCAGCATCAGACGGAAGCTTTCATGTACCACGATGACCAAAACGGAGTCATTCTTAAATTACGTCTTCTTCATATTCAATTGAAAACAACTCAACTTTTTTCCAGGAAATGCCATGCTCCTCTGATTTGATATCGGCTCACAGGCGTACTAGGATATAATTTTGAATTTAAACACGATTTTCATGTGAGAATGAATAGTGGTCTGTTACTAGGGGCATATCCTATGAACACAAAACGGCGAGGAAAATATTTGGAATTAATAAGGACGAAGGAATTTTTGCCATTTGGGTTATCAGAAAATACGATAGCCAAAGAACGAACTGTTAGATAGGAAACAAGAGATGCATACACAATTTTGATTGAGAATCACTTTGACTTTTGCCACTAATAACAACATAAATTATATGGGAGAGTAACACAATGAAGAAAAAGGCACATCTTCGAGAGAAACACTACCAGAAAAAATGTAACTAGCTCAGAATTGTCTTTGGTATTGGCGTTGCTGTCGGAGAGAAAGTTTTGACATCCGCAGTGTTAAAACTAGCCACTAGACATTTGTTGCTGATTAAAGTACAATTTAAATTACGGCATTCCACATTAGTGTTGAGACAAAGGTAATTACGTACGCGTACATTAATAAATTATTGGATATTTTCTTAAGTAAATCTCCTTTCTCACCCCTGTACTTGGTTCCGTGGCCACCCTGTGAACTGTTTCATACATATTACAGATTTAGACGTGTTTCACCGGCGTCTGGACCAGGTTTCCGACAGAACACCTTAGAATAAGTCACTCCCCTCAGCACTGTTCCATTTCATATCTCAGTGCTGCCAACTAACGGTAAATTACTACTCAACGCACTTGCAGTTTGTGTTGTCAAACTTTTTTTTATTATTTAAAACAATCTGATTCTTTATTAAGGAACCTTAAAGTACATTTACCGCCATGCTCATATCTAAATTATACGTTCTTAATAATTTTAAATGTTTGTACATCGGTTCTATAATCAATCCGACCACAGAGGGAAAGTAAAAATCGAGAAATTTATTACGACAGGTTGTGATAAGTGAAACTTGTAGCTAGTCTGGCTTTTGTCACTAAGAACACATGTCCTGGATAACGGAGGCACTTAGCCAATTTGTGTCTAACAGTCACATGTAATCTGTTAGTACACGTCTGTCTCTCCCCACCCCATCCTACGGCCATCGTCTGCGCCCTGAGGTAGCCTAGCTCATTTCTAGGTATACAAGCGACGAGATATCGTATTATTAAGTCTCAACAAGACCTAGATCGAAGAACAGAATTTTGAATGTAACCCAACACACAAAACAGTTAGGAATGTGTACTTTTATATAATTTATTTTGCCAATAAGATGAGGTGTAACACGCATAGTGGGATGAGAAATGGTTACAAAATTTCGGTTTGTAAACCTGAAAGGATGAGACAAATTAAAGAACTTATGTGTTGATGGGAATAATAATATTAAAATGTATCTTATATTAGAAGGATAGGATGGTAGAGTGATGATTGTATTCATGTGGTTGAGGTGTGATTCCGATAGAGGCCTGTTGTGAATTCGAAAACAGACTTTATCTTTTATAAATGGAAATGTCTTAATTAGCTGTAAAATTTAGTAGCCTATTTTCGTTATTTTTGCACAGAATAAGACGAAGTTTTGAATGAATGTTGATCTAAAAAAGAGATTTATTAATGAAGTTCCTCTCTTAGTGAAAGCATTATATTAAATTTGTCCTATCTTCGCGAAAATCAACAGCATACAAGCTTCGTGAGTTGATCACCTCCAGATCTTGAAATACGTCATATTCTGTAATTTCAGAGAGGCAGATCTTATCAGAATAATCGTTAAGTTCGAAATTGTGAATCATTATGGCCACTCTGTCTAAGCTGCAATTCCCGACTATTGTATTTGTTTATCAGTACCAACATGGCGGCCGTAACAACTTAGTATTCGACAGTGACACTAGCGCTATAAGCTGTACACATTTTTAGACTGTGTGGCTTCGGAGAAAAAGTCTTCGTTTAGGTTTTTTGTATGCAGAATGTAGCTGATAGGTAAACCGGTTCAGATAGACAAGCAGGGGAACGGTATTATGTGATTCACCACGACAAATTTCACTTAACTTTAAGTACTGTTATATTCTTTTTAAGTCTAAATTTTCCGACAATGCGAGGTTGTGTTTAATAACTTTAAGGCACTAAAATTTAACGTCGTAAACTGTATAAAAAGTAAGTCACTAAATTTTATAATCCCTAATTCAATGCTCTGTTGATGTAAGATTTTAATTAAGCTGAGTTTCACTGTTCAAGAATTATTCTTTTTGTGATAATCGTAAGCTAAGTTCTAAACAGACTTCAGCTTTATGCAAAGAGGCCCGTCTGAAATATTATTCATAGCTCGACAAAATATTTTGTTACTTATATAAAACCTTGTTTTATAAGTAGTTTTGAAGAAAGCTTTTCTTAGTCTGCTCATATGTACTTCGGCTCTAATAACGTTGAACCACGTGACGGATATTCATAGAACATGGTATAGCCATAAAGTCGTTAAAAGCCACCGTACGTCTTCCATTTTAAAATTCTTATACATTATAATATCCACACAGCTATCTGTCGAATTTCTGAGGTGGGAGCGACATTAGAGAAGCATTTACCACACTTGCATACGTTTTAAAGTTTTGTATGATAGTAAATTTTCGGTGAATATGAATTTGTTAAGGCAATGTTACAATTTGAAAACAAAAAAATGACAGACTTGTTCTGAATTTCAGGCCAGATGGCACCGTTATGTACCTACCGTCTCCCCCTCTCCTCCCTGAAGCCAGCCGAGTGAAGTTTTGTGTGCAGAGACGTTATGAAATTGTCAGCCACAAATTAAACGTAGTTGGAATCCGTACCAGTGTACATTAATATGTAAATAGAAACTGAACATTGAACCATGTAATGTTAAATACAGTTTCTTGTTAGTCTATCGGTAGAAGTTGATGTATCTCCTTCCTAGAAATTTTTTTTGTTTATAAGTTTTAGGTCAGTATGTCACGTCGGATTTTGTCCACAATAGTATTATATACATTTTCAATTAAGTCCCTGTTTACAATTAAATTACTTTGATGCTGCTAGATTGAAGGACTTGTGCGGACTCGTGCCAGTCTTTCCACGAATTGTCGGTTTGAGTTTTAAGTTGGTTAAGGTCCGTCCGAGGAAACCGTCAATTACATTTTATTACCTGTAAATAATTATAAGCGCTAGATTTTTACACAAGCTTAATACCACAATGATGGCGTCTTTGCTTTCTGACTCTTACATCACTGTTGGAAATTTCAGTCATTTAACAGTCGCATCCGCGCTTATACGCGCTTCAGTCCGAGCCCCATGCCTCTGTAAAAGACACTTCGCAGTTCGGCCATCTTGATATGAAATATTGTCGCTAGGATAAAAATACGACAGAATAATTTTTGTTCAATCCTAAATTATTGCAACAATTTTTATCCAAACGATTCTCTGTCTCAAACTGGAGACCTTAGGATTATGAGGCACGTGCAATTCGTTACCGGACATAACTAACTAACTAACTAACTAGATGGCTTAGGGACCCCGAAGGTTCATCACCGAATCAACCAAAGCCCTCCATCGGACCCTGTCCTGGGCCACCAAAATCCAGTCTCCTTCGACTCCTATCTCCCATAGATCCCGCCTCAGATTATCCTCCCATCTACGTCTAGGTCTCCCCAGAGGTCTCTTCCCCTCAGGCTTCCCAACTAGTGGACCCAACCAACCAGATGGCTTAGGGAACCCGAAGGTTCATCACCGAATCAACCAAAGCCCTCCATCGGACCCTGTCCTGGGCCAGCAAAATACGAACTCCTTCGTCTGAAGTAAGCTGACAGTCGCCTCACTACTCGCAGCGACGCGCGTTAGTTCAGAAACGGAAGCAGATGGCACTGGCTGTCGCAATACGTCTATTTTTTCCCCAAAGTGCCCCGCCTTCCCCTATACCGATAATGAAATCCGTAATTAGAGACATTCCTAATTGTTACGATGTTGTGACTGTACCTGCAGTGGGCTTGCGTGCGGGCAGGTAGAATATAAGATGAGGGGTTTTAGGACCATTTTCAGTCTGTGCCCTCTAATTTTACCGCGATCCCGACACTCGGCGACTATAGCATTAGAACACCTCTCCCCGAAGTTGCTGCTAACCGTCAGTCCACGTCCACGCAATCACGCTTTCTAACAACTC